ACTCCCCCCCCCCCCCCCCCCCCCCGGGGCACCCCAACCCAACTTTTGTCTTTGTATTAGTTTGTCTGTATCTTTATCATCTTGCATTCTTTGACTATATATATATATACCTTTATAGTACATCTGCGACTGCTATATGCGGGTGTATTGAATTCGTTTAAACTCGATGAACATATCAAAAAATGTTAGGCGTATTATATAACTATTTTGAAGATATTTAAATGATTTCTGTTGGCTGATGTGATATATTCTTGACAAATCTGTATCTAGTTTAATAGTTTTGTTCACTTCAGTCCATTTCTGTACAAAGTAATGGATGTATTATGTGTCAACAATGATATCCTGCTGATGACATGATTTCCAGAGTATCGGATAATGATGTTTAGGGCCAGTGAGATAATTAACCTTTTTCCCAACTTAAAATCTTATTTTTTACCCAGTGAAGCAAGTTACTTCCAGTCAAGTGTTGTAGAAATGCAAAAACAAAATTTGGGGGTAAATATTCAAATTTGTTTTTGGAGAATGATGCAGCAAACCTGTTTGAGATTGTTTGAGAATGCCAATGTTTTCCAGTCATAATTTGATCCTTCTCTATTTTACTAAGGCTTTGTTTGTCTTCCTTTCTTCCATATTTTACTACATTATTTTTTCTACAGTACTCATTTTCAACCACGTTCTTTATTAAAATAACATACGCATAAATCAAAAACTTTTCTTTATTTTTTAACCACACATTTCAACATCAATCACTATTACACAATACATTATACACAAATAATGGGGCACAAACAAGCACTAATAATTGAACAAGAATGATTGCTGCATTCTTTAGTGCTTGTATTGAAGAAACTTTGATAGGAACTCACTTCTATTGCTTCTCTGCTTTCTCTTAATTCTGAATTTGTTCGATTTCAGGTGATACTAAAAGAAAGTTCCTCACCACAAGACATGCTTAAGTCATTATTTCAAGTCAATTATCTGTATTGGTTGGAGAGAAATGCTGGAATTATATCAGGTAGCATTCGTCACGACTGCAAACCAGGAGGAAAGCTGCAAATATCTTTAGAATATGTTCTACGGGAATTTAACCATGTTAAAAACGATGGCAAAGTTGCAGGTTGGGTTGTTGATGGTCTCATTGCGAGGCCTTTACCTAATAGAGTTTCCATAGGTAATGAAGCAGCATCTCCTCCTGCTCTACGTTGATTTCTTAGATGATGCTTGATCAGTGGCAGTTTTTGAGCATGAGCATGGAATTTCTTTCACAATGGTCTGATCACTTGAATTCCTCGTATTGTTGCTGAATCAAATGTGCAGAAGACGATACACTATAAAAGCTAGTCAATCCAGGTTCTCAATGAGATGCTGAATATTGAATTTAATCTTCTGGCGTACAAAATAGACTTGTACCAAGGAGAAATGATATGACAGAAACTTGAGTTAGGTGGTTGCCGGGTGCTAATGGCTGTTGCTAATGTGAATAGATTACGTACTTTTAGGACACTGAAGCTAGAGAAACGATATAGTGGAAATTTTGCAGTATACGAAATAGCTGCTTTGCCTCTAAATTTAACATTCTCTAGGCATTCGTTCTGTTAATTTTAGTACAATGATTTTTGAGAGAAATTACTGTATACCCTTTGATAGACTGGCAGCTTGTAATTTAGGGAGGGAAATGTTAATGTTTGATTGCTTATTTCCCTTTGCAAATTGTCAGCAGATTATTCAGTTTTTCTTGCATTGCAGCAGATTGTTGATATTCTTGTTGGTATTTTTATACAAATTACAATGTTGTGCCCGTGTTTCCAGAAAAGCTAAAATTTGGTTCATTATACTCTTGAACTGCATAGAAAACACGCACTCTATGTTCAGGAATGCTCTATAGAACGGTGACAAAGATGGTGCGACGTCATGTTTCATGCTATGTTGAGTTTTCATGCAGGCAAGAAGCGGTCGATCTGAATCTTAAATGGAGTGCATTTTCCTTTTACGGTATAATGTTGCTTCATGAAAACATTGTGCCTTTTCTGCTTGGAACCTTTGACAAATGTCACCTGCTTTGAGCTTACTTGTCACCTGGAATTTTTTATCAAGCAACATTATTTTTCGATTTATGCTCGTCACCCTTTGCATAAATGTCATGTTAATCTTGATTCGTGTGTGTCATCTTTGTGTAAGGATCATGTTAATCTTACACGGAAAGAACAAAGTATTTCGGATAAAACATAAAACCTCTATCTTTCGTTTACAGAACAGAAAAAAAATTAAAAAAAATTAAAAAAAAAACGGGCAGGAAAAGTTATTAAATAAAGATTACCGACTTCTAGTCACCATTTGACAAGAAGATCATCGTAAATGTACGATTATAAGTAGTAATAATAAATACAAATCTGATTATGAAAACTTGTACAGTTTTTTGAGGTCACTTTCTGGCACGAAGAGTCCGTGAAATCCATAAGGCACCCTTCTGGGGAGCCTAACATTCGCGACAATTTCAAGGTCGGGGGACTTGGCACTCATAACCAAGAATCTAGATTCTCCAGTTTTCTCGTTGTGCACGTAGGTCACTAAGTAACCGTCATCCTCCTCGGCTTCTGGATTATTGGGCTCCCTTGACACAAAGAATGGTTCGCCACCACAGCAACCCTCGCCATATAGTCGGCTAGCCACCGTGCAGTTGCTTCTGTGGTTCGAATCGAGTAGTGATAGTTCTAGCTTCACCACCCCTCTTATTCTAGGCATTGGAGCTGTCACTGCTGCGTAGACATACCTGTATATCAAGGAAATGAACATTAATGTCTGCTTATTCGTTCGTTGTGATGTTTATTTATGTATTTTTAGCTTATTCTATAAAATGACTATTGATAATATGAAAAAATAAAATACCGTTTATTTTTAATACTTTACATTATATACATGTAAGATAATGAAATAAATGCCCCTCATGGGATGATCGAGTTAGTGGAGTAAGTAAGCGCGGTGCTGTTTATCTGGCTGGCCTAGTTTGCAGGCTATTGCGTCAGCCCGAGAATTTACTCAGTGCGCACCAAAAGAATAAGAGCTGCGGATTCCCCTTCATTAATATAATAAAAAAAAAAATTTAAAAATGATAATGAAATAAATAGTAAGCAAGCGATTTCATGAAGTTGCCTATTGCTACTTAGCCGATACCAAAAATCTGAAGTACGTTTTCATGAGAGTCACGTGACAATTCAACGAAATTTGGATGCTTCACTTACTATGCTATCAAATGTAATGGGATGACCAACTTGTTCATTTTTAAAGGTTAAAGAACACACAATATACCTGTTCTTCTTTCCAATATAAGCTGGATTGATCACTCCAAAATCAAGACTTCTGGTTGAAACAGGTTTCCTCAATACCTTCTTTTCCGTTACTTTGATTTCAACTTTTTCCAGTGATAAATGGATCAAGTCCATGCGATCCAGTGCATGCTCAACAGACAATACATTAGAAGCCACAATGACTATTTCTTCCCCATCATCTTTTTCCCATGCATTAACTGCATGTAGCATGTTGAATCCGGGCACTTCAACCCAAAACATGTCTGTTTCATCCTTTGTATATCGAGGGATTATCCCGAGCCTCGGTATTTTAGCTGGATCGACTCCAACTGGTGATCTTCCTCTGAAGATATCCATAGGGCGAATCACAATTTGTATATCAGGAAATACGGCATAGTTTTTAGTGACAGCAAAATCATGGATAAATGATGAATGTGTTAAGGAGTGGATAGGGATGTCCTCTCGTTTTATTCCTTCGTTGTTGACTCGGAAATAGGTTAAGAACGGAGGGAATATATCGTACCCAGAAGCAAAGGCTTCACCGGTGTTTGGATCAATTTTGGGATGTGCTGTCATGTTCAAGAATGGCTTACTGTAAAAGGCATGGCGGCCTAGACTGATTATATCGCCATTTGGTGTTAACTCTAGCGCATAGGGAAGATCGGATTCACCTAGCGCAAAGAGGTATCCTCCAAAGAAAGTTACACTTGTGTTTGCTAAGCCAAAGCCATTGATCAAAGGACTGAACTGTCCAGCCAGTACTCTAGCTATTGTTAGCCCCCCAACGCACCATGGAAGCGGGGAAGCCGTTGAAGGATGAGAAGACACTAGGGAAAACCGGGGAACCATTATCGTGCTCGACTATGTATTTATATGTCTTCACATAGCGACTACACAACGTCGCTTTGCCTTGAGAGATTCTAATCAAGTGAAGCATCCCATCTCCATCGAAGAGATGGTAAGGGCCACAAGGGACGAATTGAGGGTTGGGGCCATTGCGTATGTATGCTCCGTCTAGGCAACTTGGGAGGGCACCTTCCACCACCTCGCATGGAGTTGGTGGAAGCTCGTCCACCGGTGCAAAGTTTCCCGAGAGAACTGTAAGTATTATGCCCTAGGTCCAATCAACTTTGGACATAAATACTTTTATATATAATTAATGCAATTAAATGACAGATCTATTATTTAATTAATAGACAATTAAATAAATAATAGAGTCCGTAGATTCAAATATTTGTAATTTGTTAATCACAAGGAGTTGTGATTGTGAGATACAAATTACATCTGATTGAATCTTAAATCATTCGTGGTCGTAAGTAATAACGAGATACAAATATCGTTATTACGGATAGACCATCACGTGTGGCATTTCTTACTTGTGAAGTAAGTAGCTGATCTCACAAGCTAAAGTGTGGTGACACTTAAATGAACACGTGGATGTTTTTCTTATAGAACAAAACATTGGAGACCCGTCAAGAGATTCCACATGGATAACTATCTGAGTGTTAGTGGTTAATCTCTAACGTTCGGTAGTGGAATTGGTCCTTTGACTTGAGGTCGTCATAGTACCTTATATGAGGACAGTCATACTTTGACGGTGTTGGATGTTGCTCTGAAAAGGGCCGCTAATACGACATCGTTCGGGTACGTCAAGAATCGTATGAAGGTTGTGATTGATCAATAAAGGATTCGTCACTCTTAGATAGTAGGAGATTATGATCTACGTTTCATTCAATTAAGTCAATGATCAAATCCTTGGCCGAGGTGTACTCATAAGTCGAAAAGGAGTTTTCGATTTATATTGACTTAATAGTGGAATGAAAGATATGATCAATGATCGAGATTGACACAATTCCATATCTCGTAATTGATCGGATCATATTGACGAAGGGATTATGGTTTCACGGTAACCGAACGAATTTGGTTTTGTCATACCACGTGACATTTCCCGTCACATGTATTGCCCTGGCACATTGCTAGATGTCAATCAGGGACGGCGAATATGAATTGACGATAAATTAAAAGGGGTGTTTTAATTTATCAATTTTGATTAAATTAAAATAATATTTCACGTCGTTAGACATCGTGGTCGGGAACCTAATGGGTCACACACAAAAGAGAATTGGAAGATTGCAAATTGCCAATTGGTTAATTTAACAATCGTTAGATAAATTAATTAATTGGATTTGTTATTTATATTTTTGAATTAATTAATTTGATTAATTAATTTACGGACCGGGTTTAATTAATTGGATTAATTAATTATTGGACCGGACCGGGCCGAGCCGTTTGGGTTTATATAAATACATAATTAGGGTTTGAGGTCCATAAGGTTTTCATTATTCTTGCTGGCACAAGAGAAAACCCTAGAGGCTGCAATCATATTCTCTGTGTGGATCACCGTTGGAGGCTGGACAATTGGATAGCTGTGGTGGCGAATCAAGATTGTGGAACGAAAAGAAAAGCAAAAGGATTGCAGATCTAAAAAAGGTACAACCTTATCACAATTTCTATCTAAACACAAAGGCGATTCTTGGTGGGAATCGAAAATTATTTTAAATTCCGCTGTGCATGTATAAGTAGTTCCCAACAAGAACTTGTTTTGGATCGAGGGAGGGTCGAAGAGGCAAGTCGAGGAAAGCGGATATGAAAACATCGAAAGACTTGAAGATGTTTGCAAGTAATGATGGCTTTGTTTTCTTATCTACTTGTTCTTGATTTGAGAGTTTTTTCGGGTCACGCTTTTGGGTTAGTTCTACCAACTTGTGCAATGTTGTTCTTGCAGAGGAAGTGTTTACGGAGTCTGCGGTGATTGATGTTTCATGTTTTTCTTCAATTCTAACGGATGAAACTTTGAGTTTAGCTTTTCTTGGCGGTGAAGAAGAATTGGCATTTAAATATAGAGGAAATTTTGGAAGGAAAGAAGAAGAAGGTGTATCCATAGCAGTGTTTAATTTTTGGCACCAAATTCTGAAGGACTGAAGTATTGTGTGAGAAATGAAGAGAGACAGCAGATTTAAATAAGGCATGCTTGTGGAAGATGGCCTAATGTGGATGATTTATGTACCCGCCCTACCCCTAGCACACCCCAACCCACCCCCACCTGCACGCAGATAGACCCAACTGATTTGAGTCTTACAGGAGGATGGCAAAATGCTGGCAGGGAATTCTCGCCCTTCAAGGTGGGGACTGAGACAATGAAGGGAACATCGTCACGAAATTGATGTTCATTGTACTATGTGCCAAACATTCTATTGGTAAGATACGAGGCATTGATAAGATTCAATGTATCAATGCTTAGTGAGAGACTGAGAGTGACATGGATAACCAGATGCAGATTTTGGTATAGGTTTTATGTCATTTTTAGGTCCATGCCGCCCATATTTACTTCGTTTTTCTCAGTTGGAATCATTTTCTAATTAAAAGTTTATCTAATGATA